AGAAAGCAGGAGAGAACATAGGAGCAGAGCCTGGCTCGGGGCTCCAGGTAAGTAATCCCCTCCCATCTAGCAGTCACCAGAGCAGGACCAAGGGAGGACTGGGTACATGCGGTGTGCTTGGCTGGAGAGACCAGGAAGTGGACCTTTGGCACCCACAGCTGGCACTGGGCTCCTGACTGAAGCGAAGGCGCTTGGGGTGTGTGGCGAGGCAGGTGCACTGACAGGACTTGGGGCTTGGCTACGAGTGGAGAAATGGAAAGTGGCTGAGAGAGTAAGTGGGGCTGTGCCTCCAGAACAGCCAGTGTGGCCCCAGGGCCCTTGCCCTCACACCCCCATTAAGCCTGAGGCTGACACTGAGGGGCAGGGCTGCAGAAATCCCCACCTCAAGTCCTCCTGCCCACCTTAGAGGGCAGTGATGTGGCCTGGGAGCCTCAGTTTCCAGAAGGAGGTCTCAGCTGATACAACTCTGTTCCTCTCCAAGGTCCGCCGGGAAGTGTGTGCTTAGACTGGTTAATGTTTGCATAGGCCATGGCCAGGATCATCCCAGGGATGACTGGGCTCTAGGAAATGCCAAGAATTCCAGGCAAGGCCTGCAACCCGAGTCAGGTGCACAGGGGCTCTAGGAAGTGAGAGCCCATGGGGCTTGGGGCCTAGTATCCTGGCACCATATATGAACTGGGACAAGACTTTCCTAAACTCTCTGGGAAAGTGGCAGCTATGAAGTACACACATGGTCCCAGTCTAGAACTTTCTACTCAGTCCTCTGTGCACTCAGGATCCATAGGCCAGACTGTCCAAAGACCTGGCCCTTCCCAGCACTGAGACCTTATTCTGTGAGATCTCCACTCTTCACTGTTGAAGGATGAACTGCTGGAGTTTTTCTTGCTGCCAGTCTGGCTGGGGGCATGGCCCTGGCATGGCAGCCTGGGCACCCAGGGAGAAGAAGGGCTCTGAAGCCAGTTTTTTTGTTTGTTTGTTTGTTTTTGTTTTTTGTTTTCCTGTGTACTTGTCTCCTTATGGGGTGTGAGGCCCCATACCCTTCTTCTGACTGCCTTGCCCAAGATGGAGAGCACCGTTCAGGGGAGTCACTGTGACACATCTAGGACCTGGCCTACTGAGGCTCACCCAAGGGAGAGAAGTGATTGTGGACTTTGTAAGTTACAGTGTCAGAGACTTCCCAGGCTGGAGGGTGATGCTGGACACCACTGGACATCACCGGCCAGTATCACTGCCCTAAGTCTGGGGCATCACAGAGGCAGCCCTTTCTCGGAAGCAGGTGTCTTTGGACTCTCAGAGGCAAGGGAACTGCTTCCTGATTCCTGTAAGCCTCCGCCTGGGTGGCCTGTCTGTCTGTCCATCTGGTTTTAGTGGCCCTCAGTTATCTGAGAGCCTATTTCCCCCCTCCTTTGTTTTGCAAAGAGCAGCTCCTGCAGTCCAGGGCTGGAGTGCATTTTTACTCAGGGCTGGCTCCAGGGGCCAGAGCCAACAATAACAAACAGACCAGCACCTATTGGGCACACAAGGTTCTAGACCTGCCTATGTGTGCACATGCAGCAGCTGCTCTCGAGCACCAGGCAAATGCTGCCCTACCTAGTAGCGTACAAGCAGACATGGAGGGACAGGTTGGGTTCTTCTTAGCTGTGCAGAGGATACCACCCAGCAAGGGCACTCAAGACCCACCAGCCTGCCCTTCAAGGGTAGATGGGAGTCAGGGATGAACTTGCCTTAGAGGTGTGGTTGGAGTCTGCCTTTCTGTTGAGATATAGGACATTCTGCTGAGTTACAAACTGGTTTCGGGGTTAGGTAGCTTTGACATGGGGAGGATCAGAGACTAGGGTGCATCCCCAAGGCTGTACCTGTCTATGGACAGGGCTCATCTCTAAGAATTACCCTTGAAATGAAAACACATTGAAAGCCCTCTTTCCTGTGCAAGGGGCTGAGGGTAGCTCTCTCTACAAGCCTCAGCTTCCTCATGTGCAATCCTGAAGGATGTCAGCTGCGGCCCTCTCATTTGGAGCCCATTGCCCATGAGAGAACCAATGCTTTACTGTCTTTCTCCTTGGTGTGACTGCTTCCACCCCACGTGGAGCAGAGGAAGTTCTGTATTCCTGGATTCCAAGTCAGCCGCCCCCACCATCTTTTAGCACCCATCCTATATCCTAGCAGGTATTTTCCCCATGTTGAGCCTTTGCATGTTCAGTCTGTCACAGGGGTGAGCCAGCTGGTATTCAGGCCAGCATGACCCAAGCTACCTCTAGGCCTCAACAGAACAGTCCACAGACCATACTCCTAGGCCAGACCTGGTCCCCTGCAGTGTAAAGTGGTGGTGGAGGGTAGCCATGCCTACCAAGCTTCTTCCCTGATGGCCCCATTATGATGGCAGAGTCACATCAGGCCTGATGGTCAACAAAGCTAAACACATTTCTTCTCTGGGCCTTAAAGTATGCTTGTCTTCATATTCTAGAATGATCTTAAGGCTCTGCCGGATGGAGGCTTCTACTCTCCTGAGCTCAATATTTATACAGTCTGGTGCAGATTAACCCCAGGGCAGAATGCCTAGCCTCTCCTAGCTGTCTGTGTTAGGGAGTGAGTGGCTTCCAGAGGCTCAGCCCTCTGGGATACACCTGGGCTTAAGTGCTTTTCGGAGCTCTCCTGTCCCCTTGGAGATCCTCCATGATCCATCTTTGCTTAGTTTCCAAAGAGAATTTGTCTCAGGATCTTCCACTTCCAGTAAGTCCTGCCTCTGTTGTCCTCCTTGCCTGCCCTCTGAGGTCTTCTCATCATTGTCCAAGTCAGTCATGGTATCCTGGTGTCAGAGTTGGTACAGTGGGCCACCATGGCTATGGGGCTTCAAGCCACAGCTGGATCCTGGTGGGCAGGATGTGGACTCTCCCATAGGTAGCGCCTGGAGCAGAGGGTCCCCACAATGGCACACTTGTCTCCTAAGAAGACTTTGAGTGTGCCACACAAGGAGACACTATGCAGAGGGGTTGAACCAGAGCCTCAGAGTATTTTTAGGGAGAATAAGGGTGCTGGCTACCAGCTCAAAGCCTACAGTCTCTTGAGAGGGCCAGGCCAGGAACGTTCCTTCATTCCTGTTGTGATATAATGGCACCATGGTCTCCCAGGGGTGGCTCCACCCCTTGTCTTAGATGCATCCTGTTCTCGCATTTCAAAGTCACAGGGCAATCCAAAATAGTAGTTGTGCCCATGATTTCATTAAATGTGTGCCTCTGGCCCCGATGGCCTGGATCCTGAGCAGCCTGAATAGAGGGCAGGGAGCACCTGCCTCAGAAGGCTAGCTTCTGTCAGTGAGTCCTCCCTGAGGAGGATAACATATCTTCTATGTAGCTCCAACCATGGCTTCCCCTCCTGGAGCAGGCGGGGAAATGTGAAGAGCAGGGACGAGAGGTGGGGTGGGGTGAAGAGCAACTGGCCACTGGTCACTCACACACCTAATGCATCTCAGCAGCACCTGTGAAGTTATGTGCTGAAGTGGGGAAGTGAGGCCACTGCTTTTTGGCTTGGTGCTTAAAGCATGAGGCTGTGATGGTCTGGAGACCTCACCTCTCAAGGTAGGACCTGATTCTTGAGGTTCCTAGGAATAGGGCCTGCTGCCTCTGTCTGGACCCAGATACCAAAGAGTGAGGGGATAAGGGATCAAGGACTCTGGTTCCGGTACTTGCCTGAGTTGAGAGACCCTGGGAAAATACCTCTCTAAGTCCATTTGATATCAAGCCTGTTGGGGTCACAGGGATGACAGTTTCATTGGGCTGTCAAGGAGTCCCATGGCATGATCTACCCAAGGGATCAGCATCATAGCAATGACAGCTTGAACATATTCCAGCCCAGCTGTGTCGTCGATCAGAACTGTGGGAGCTGAATGCCTCCCAACTCTACCTTTTGCAAAGGGAAAACTGAGGCTCAGGAAGGTGACAGGCCCTTCTAGAGGGATCCAAGTGGGGCAGGCTGGGGTTTGAGTGGCCCTCTGGAAATCAGAGCTGTGTGTGTCTGCTTTGTACCCCACAACTTCAGGAGGATCCTGCTGAAGAGCCCCGGATCAGAGAGGTCTTGCCCTGCTGGATGGCCCTGGAGCGCCCTGCACACACTGGGGGAAACGCTCAGAAAATCCCCCTGGCCTTGGGCCAAGAGAGCAGCTTCTGAGACAAACAGGATACTGGTTTGGGCTCAGTGGAGACAATAGCCGGGAGAGGAAATGCCTCCAGACCCATGTATGGGTGTGGGCTTGCAGGGACCTCTATTGACACAGCTTTCAGAAAAATAGGCCTGGTGGAAGCTTAGCCTCCCGGGGGTCTGCATTCTCTGGAGAGAGAGGTGAAGCACAGCGTACCTACACCCTCAGAACGCCTCACAAATGGAGACAGGCAGGGAGGAGAGATAGCTATAGGACCTAGTGAGTGTGGGGGGCAGCCCAGCTCCATCTTTCAGGGTGGGCACTGCAAGAGAGAACAGGAGGCAGGCCTCAGTCTGGGTCATGGGGAAGTTCTCAGTCAGGCTACAGCCTGTGGGAAAGTAAAGTGTGTCGTCCCCCCCACCTATTCCCCCCCCCCCCCCCCCCCGACAGGCCGGCTCCAAGGATGTGTGGTACTTGCAAGCTGAGAAGGAGCCTGGCCCCTTCCAGAAGGCTCCTGTTTGGAATCAATGGGCTGAGATGATGCCAGGGACAGAGTGAGAAGCAGCACATGCGTATTTTGTGTGTACGCATTCAGAAATGTGTGAGAGGTCTGTGTACCCATACATGTCTCTAAGGCCACCCATATGTCGGCATACATGTGTATGCACGTGTGTGTATATGGGAAAAGGGAACAGAGAGCGGGGCTGGGGTTAGTAGGGCCTGAGGGCCCGCCTCCCGTGGACTTCCCCAATCTCAGCACTGAGGGTGTCCGCAGCCTTCATCACAGAGCACAGGGCTAGCAGTGGGCAGGCAGGGCCAGGGCCTGGCTCTGGTCCACAAGGAGCTAATGATCAACTGACCAGTGGAGTCCTTGCAGCGCTCGGCCCGCCTTGGGTCTCCAGGCCCCTAGGCTCAGGGAGGAAGTGGGGCAGGAAACAGGGGGCGGTGGCAGTACTGAACAGTCAGCCAGCCAGCTGTGGGCGGCCCCTGCCTGTCCAGGCCAGCTGGAGACAGACAGCCTGTGTAGGCCAGTCAGCAAGGAGCTGAGCCAGAAGTGGCCACCTGGCACCTCCGTCCCTGGGCCTGGGAGGAGGTTCTCCGGAGAGCAGAGTGCAGGTGAGGGTGCTTTGGACAGGGGGGTATGGACTTTGTGAGTCGGCTGTGGTGGGTAGAGCCAGGCTTTGCCACGATTGTATCTAAGAATAGTATTCCACCTTCCTCTTTCTTCTGGCTTGTTTGGGGTTGGGCTGTGGCAGGACCCTGCCAGGGAGCTGTTGGAGACTGGCACTTAGCACCCCAGGGCTCTGCCAAACTGTCAAGATTGCTCAGATGAGACCAACTGTTGATTGTGACCTGGCCTTCTCACTGACCCTCTGTGAATGTGTCCCTGAGGTCTGAGTAAGACATGGGAGTTGAGTGACAACATGGGATTCGAAAGCCAGTGGGCTCCAAGTGTTGAGCTCTAGCCTTGGTTCATTGCAGGCCGTGACATGCACGCCTGTGCTAACATGGAGCTTCGTGGCACCCCTGTGGCTATGCCCTGGCCACTCTGAGGTCACCCTGGGTCTCTTTATGTTAACCAATGAAATACATAACTTGACTAGGGTCACTAACGGCTATCTCTGGAGACGTCAGCAGGAGCAGCTTGTTTTAGGGCTCCAGGGCTTCCTGAACCTCTTTGCCCTACTGTGGAAGAACAGCTACTTACAGGCACAGGCACGAAGATATAAGGAAAATGTGCTCAGGGTGAGGGACCAGACTCCTGCCACCTGACTTAGAGTCCCCTGCTGCTGGTTCCCTGGCTGGGCCAAACCTTGGGTTGCACATCTGTGACATGGATGGTGTGAGGGTCATCCTCTAAGTTGAGGTTAAAGGTGAAGACTGGAAGGATGCTGAAAGATGCCACCTTTATGTGACTGTCAACATGTTGCTGGTTTCACAGAGCTTCTTGCTTCTTAAGTGTGTGAAATCACAAATGCCACAATGTGGGTGTGTGAAGGCACTTTCCCAGAAGAGAAACTTTCAGGGTGTCACCATGCTCATGGCTGCCATAACGAACTAGGACAGAAATTGTTCTCCTAGGGTTTGAAGGCCAGGAGTCAGGGCTCCCAAGGCAGAGTCCCTCCTGCTTCTTCCAGCCTCTGCTATGGCTAAATGGCTCCCGCTTCTGTCATATGCCCTCCTTTTCTGTGCGTCTTGTTCTCGGCCAACCCCAGGTACCAGGTAGAGGACTCACTCTAATCTGGCTTGACCACCTAGTTCATTGGGCCCATTCTAATGCAACATCCAAAAAGACAGAGGGCAACTTCATCTGAAACCACCTGTTTCCAACCAAGTCCCCGCCCTGAAGTTCCTGGTAGTATGATCGTGGAGAATGCTGCCACCTCCAGGCAGTCTCAACAGTCCTGCAAAGCATAGGCTCAGGATGTACCTTGGTGGATGATCTCTGGCCAGATCTTTTGGGACACGGGCAGGGCCAACCATAAAGGCTCCTCCCTCCAGCCTAGGGTACTGATGCCAGCTGTAAGCCAGCATGCTGTCTGTCTGCTTGATCCTAACATCCCGAGTGGGCGTTTTCATTCTCATTTTATGGATGGGTAAACTGAGGTGTAGAGCACCCCCCCCACACACACACACCGAGCTTGGTCCCAGGTCTCCGCGTTCCAGCAGTAAACTAGGTGGGCGTTGGCGGTCAGAGCCTGTGGTGGCTGACTTGGTGTCACCTGATGCTTCTGCCACCTAGGCAGAAGAGGAAGGCTGGGGGGAGACTCTGCAGGCCACTCTTGGCTGCTTGGACTCAGCAAATGTACTTTTGAGGCTTCAGGGCACCATCTGGGGCTGGGCTGGCTGGGCTCCGGGCTGCTTCTGTCGCTGGAGCAGGCCAAGCAGGCCTGTGCAGGTCTGTGCAGGGAGGAGATGGCTCCACATAAGCACACAGGGCCCACTTCCTCCCTGGGGCTCTTAAGTCTCACTGTGATTGCAGTTTTGGGGGCTTTCGATGAGCAGGTGGGAAGTTCTCTCAGCTGGGAGCCCCATTTCTCCAGAGACACTTTTTAAGCCCAATACCAAGTCTGTGTGAGACCCCTGAGTGCCCCCCTGACCCAGGGATGGTAAGTTTCATGGGCTTTGGTCAGCTTCTATAGAGACACTGGCCAGCCTGGGGGGTAGGGACACCTCAAGTGGCCGAGAGAAGAGTAAGAACACTGTGGTGGGACATGGTGAATTGAGGGGGGCAGTGATTGGGAGCCACAGACCCTACAAACCAGGACCTCACTCTTCAAAAGACTGGATCAAGTGCTTGGTTGAGGGCCCTCATGTGTCACACCAGAGGAGACCAGAAGTCACCTATCCCTTGGGTATGTACCTTCTAGTCCTCACAGACCTGGGGGGCAAGAAAGACAGTGGGCCTCTGCAGTGGTAGGAACCAGGGCAACAGTTTGGTAAACCAAGGCAGGGAAGAACACACGTCCAGGCTCAGGCTGGACTGAGGCCGGAGCGGGGACAGGGCCAATGCCTGAAGGATGTCCTGGAGGATCTCAGGCATGACCAGCTGGGACAATGCCCTAGGACAGGGGACAGGAGGGCAGACTTGGTGCGTAATTCTGTCCCTGTGTTGTTGAGAACTGGGCCATGCCAGGCTCCTGGTGCCTGTGGTTTTGGTTTGGTTTGGTTTATTTTGGGTATTTTTTTTTGTTTTCCTTTGGGATTGAGTGTTGAGGTGAACAGGTGTCTGTAGGGATCCAGGGTCCCCTTGGTCTCTTTGGTATGAGATATATCTCTTTCCTATCTGCCTATTTCAGATCTTAGCCTTCAGGCACAGTTGGAGAATGAGAAGGATTTGTCCACAAACCAACCTATTGGATTCCATGAAAGGCAGGGGCCTAGATGGGTAGGTCAGGGGTTCACTGAGGCCACTTCTCAGAGGTGGGGCTGTGGCTTCCACAAAGCCTTGTCTCCTGGGGACCCAAGTCTCCCCGCTGTGAGTCTCCCTCCCTTTCCAGCTGCCCAGTTACCATTCTGGCACCCCCAAGGCTAGGGGAACTACATTCAGTCAGCCTCTACATAGGGCCCTTTGTCCTCTCTGGGGGGTGTTGTGGCTAGCCCTGTCACAGTTACCAAAACTGAGAGTCTAGCCTGTGCTCCATAGACTCTAGCCTGCGGCCCCTCCCATCTACTTACCTGCATTTGGTGCTCCGTGCCCTCTGATGGATGATAGAACCATTCAGGAGCGTGGCCATCAGGTTACATTGTCCTTCTATCACAGTGATACCGGGGAAGAGTGAGGCACAATGACAGGCCCTACGGTCACCAGCTGAAGTCATGGGGTCTGGAAGCACATAGCCCACAAAACCGAGATCCCCTCCCCTGTCGCAGTGAGATGCATCCTCTCCCCTTCCCTTCTTCCTCTCTCTTTCCACCTCTTCCCCTTTTGTCCCTTTCTTTCTCTCTTCACCCCTCTCTGAGCTGATTCCCTCAGCCCTAGCTAGATGGGGTGCGTGGTCATGCAACTGGAAACCAGGACCCACAGGTGTCTGATGGAGACTTGGGCTCATTTCTGTCCCCACAGCATCCTGTACATGTGTTGAGTCATCTACAAGGATGTTTGAGCAGGTGTCTCAGGTTGGACACTGAGCCATTTCTCAGGGACCTCCTGGAGAGCAAGAAGGGAGGCACCCCCACCTCTACCCAGCCTGTCTTGTCAGATGAGGTGACTTGGATGTCCATGTTGGTGCTGGGCTCTGATGAAGCCTGATTCAACTGGGGAGGAAGTTGCCAAGTGGAGCTCTGAAAAGTTTCATGGGGATTCACTTGGTGAAATGAAGGGTTTGGGTTCTCTGGGCAGAAATATCAGCCTCTGCACAAAGGCCCTGACATAGTAAATATGTGGCGGACGTGAGGGACTGAAGAAGTGGGTGAGGTGGCCTGAGGTGTGGAAAAACTTGCAGAGACCTGTGGGTCTCGTGGCCAGAGCAGCCTGTGGGAATCACCTATGGTAAACAAAGCTCACCGCTGGTTCTTGGAGGTGCTGGGCACCCTGTATTTCCGGTCTTCTCTTGACTTGGCTCTGACAGCTACATCCTGTCACTAACAGGCCTCTTGGCTGACCACTGTCCTCTCTCCACAGAAGGCCAGCAACATGCCCAGCTCTTGGCCTTGAGGCCACCGTGTGTCATGAGGAGCTCCAGGGAGGAGGAGGTGACTTCTGAGGAGCTAGCCACCATGGGGCGGGGCTCTGAGGAACCTCCAGGAGGCTGTAGCCATGGGGACCAGATCCACAGTGTGTCTGTGAGCTTGCCCACTGGTCAAGAGAGAGCAGGGCCTGAGGAGGCTAAAGCAGCAGCAGTCAGAGGTGGTGAGTATGGCTGCTGAAGTCCATCTTATTCTTCTGTCCACTGTCTATCCACTACACATACTTCAACTCCTCCATGCTGACAGAGCTGGTATGGGTGCCCTGACGCTGCTCACTGGGCCCACTGGGTGGGCCAGGCTTCTGGGCTGGGTGCACAGCTCGGCCCAGTGAGTCCTCTGCTGACCGGGTGCCTCTCCAGGAGCTTCAGTGATAGCAAAGTTGCCCTGGGGCCAACCTGTTCATCTGGAGAGTTTTCCAGAAATACCTCTGATGGACTAGTCTACACAGTGTCCCACCTTGTCCTCATCGACCCCCTCCATTACTCAGGATGGAGTGCCCCCCCACAAGGCAAACCAAGGCTCAGGCTCTGTAGTGATCAGGGGTCAAACCATTACCAGAGTCTTTTACTGAGGCCTGGGTGGTGGCTCCTGCTGTGTGGCTACCCAGGCAAGCAGCTGAGTGCCACGATGAGGAAGCCAGATGAACTGCACCCCAGGAGGCCTGCTTCTCATCATGGTTGTCCACAGGGTACTGCTAGACTTGGGCCTCAGTTTCCCCCATTTGAAAAACCTGAGAGGCAACCTTAGCAACCCCAAGGACCCCATCGCTGCCATCCTTGGGTCCTGAGAGAAGAGAACAGAGGAGGACAGGCCCTCTCCCTTCTCAAGCTTCCTCGCGTTGAATGACTGTCACTTGCTCAGCTGTCCTGTCTCTGGCCTCTAGAGATAGCCAAATGCTAGCGCTCAGTCACTCCTGCTTGACCCAGAGTGAATGACTTACTAAAAGGGAGCCCTGACCTTCCAGGCAGGCCTGACTCTGACCCTGATGTGTGGAGGCTGGACACTTGCAGATTTTAGATCTGTCATTTGGTCCTTCTGCCCCTGGGTGAGAAGAAGGAGGAGTCTGGTGGTCTAGTACTGACTCAAAAACAGGAAACGGTCCTCCCATGAAGGGAGGGTTGGGTGGGGCCGGGGCCGGGGCCTGGGGAGCCCACAGCTTGCCATGGCTCTCCTTCCAGAGAGGCCTGAGCAGGAAAACAAAAGGGAACATGCAGATAAGCAGAGAAGTTGCGACAGTCACCCCCAGGCCACCAGGGAGAGACTGCCAGGGTCAGAGCTGAGAGAGCTCGGGAAGCATTTGGGGACCATGTGGCCAGATACTTCCCCTCTGGAGGTTGGGCTGTGGATCCCAGAGATTGAACGCAAGTTGCCAGGCTCAGCGGCAAGTGCCTTTCCCAGCAGAGACATCTCACCTGCCCCTTTCCATGTAGACTCGGGTATGAGCCTGTGCAGACTCGTTCTTCATTGCTTTTGAGTAGATATTTAGAAATTGGAATTGTTGGGTAGTAAAGTAACCCCTAACACGGCCGCCACCACCATGAATGACCGCCACTGCCATCACCACCGCCACCACCAGTACTACACACACACACACACACACACACACACACACACACACACACCGTGGCATCAGAACGACTGTGGCCAGGCTCATCCAGCCTGTGGACTTCGGTCCTAGGGACCACTGGCAGCAAGGCTGCTCAGTGGTTAGGACATCCTCAGCTCTGAGTCTTGGAAGGGCAGGGGTGGCACAGCAGAAGTCACAAGAAACAGAGTCAACGGCTCTCCTCTCCTCCAGTGAATGCTTCCAGTGTGGCCTTTCTCCGTGTTCACTGCCTCTCGCTCTGAGGGTATTTATAGAGAGAGACATGATCATTTTTTCGGAATTGAGAGCAAATTTTAGACATGCTGCCCTTGCATCTGGAGAGACATCTGGTAAGGGGGACAGAGTCAGAGATCTGAACTTGGAGAGTGGGCAGAGCCACGGCACGTGGGCGGTGTCCTGAAGCTGAAAGGAAGAAGTTCGTCTGGAGCTGCACACGCCAACCCACTGAACCTTGTTTCAGTCCGATGCCCATGTCGGCTTCCAGAACCGGGCTGTTGGGTTAGGACCGCTTCCTTGCAGTATGCTGCCAGGCTAACAGCCTACCTACCCTCTTTGGGGTTTTCCGTGAGGCATCCCAGGTGGCGAATGAGAAAGGAGTCCAGTGGGTGCCAACCCTTCTTCCTGAGGGACCAGATTGTTTGGAGAATCACTTGCCCCTCTAATCGCAATCACCTGGTATGTTACAGATGTGGCTCCTCCCCCCAGTATGGCTGAGCTGGTTGCTGAAACCCCTTCCAGCCAAGTGGCAGTGTATCCCACAGGTAAGTATCAGGGCCTGAGTCTCACAACAGGCCAGACGTGCTGTCTGTGTCACTGGCTGTTACTGTAACAGCACAGAGTAGGCTTGTAGAGTGCTCACCACGGTTGGCTGGCTCCTTGCTTTGGATCTGGGGCAGCAGGTCCCAGTGGGAGCTCATGTCAGGAAAACAGCACTTGCCCCATGGCTGGGAATGGAGAGAGAGAGAGAGGAGACAGGTCCTGCAATCTCCCTCCGCTCTCCAGTGGCTCCCACTCAGCCCTAATTGCTTTGTTTCATTTTTTGTTTTTCTGAGGCAGGGTCTCATTCTGTAAAGCAGGATGGCCTCAGACTTGAGGCCATCCTCCTGCCTTAGCCTCCTGTGCACTGGGATTATAGGCTTGAGCCCCCACACCCAGCTTAGGCCCTCCCTCTTAAAGGCCTCACCACCTCCTAACACCACAAACAAAGGACCAAGACGTCAACACACGGACCTTGGAGAGGGGTCATTCCAAGTCACATGATAAGCAAGTGTAGAGCGTCTTGGGAACCCAAGTACCCACCCAGGCCTTTGCCTTGGCGCTTGAGGCTTCTCACACTAACATTATCTGGAACAAGTCAAATATAGGCTCCTGCTTCAGAGTGCTGAGGAAAGGCCTCAAGTTCTAAGTGTCCCCACGCACAGAAGGCTTTCAGCTTGCATCCTGACCCTAGCATCGATTGAGGACAGAGCTGGGGAGCATCGCATACGGAATTGGACTAAGGAAGCTCCCCTTGGAGCCTCGCTGTTGTCTCTAGCTGTGGGGAGCCTGAGCACCCAGCTCTGACATTGAACTTTCACTTCCGCTGTTCTACCCATCATCCTTGGACTCTTCTTTGGGGTGGTCAGTGCGGCCCGTGGTCGCTTGGGGTGCGTGAACTATTGTGTGATTGCAAATGCAGAGCCTGCCCTTGTAGGGAAGAGGGACTTCAAAAGTGATCACAGCTCAGGATTCTAGAGCAGCGGTTCTCAACCTTTCTGATGCTGCGACCCTTTAATACAGTTCCTCATGTTGTGGCGACCCCCAACCATAAAATTATTTTGTTGCTACTTCACAACTGTAATTTTGTTACCGTGAGAATCATAATGTAAATATCTGATATGGAGGGTATCTGATATGCAAGCTCAAGGGGGTTGTGACCCACAGATCGAGGACCTCTGTTTTAGAGGTTTCTGGGACTGAGGTTTAGAGGTTTAGAGGTGCTCTGGGACTGTCCCAAGGATGTGGGAACCAGCCTCTCTCTCTCCTTCCTTCTCCTTCACTCTTCCCTCCCATTAGTCTCCTCCATGGAGAGAACAGCCCCTGAGAAGGCCGCTGCCAGTGACTGAGGGACAGTCAGGGGGCCAGATTGATCAGCATTTCCAAACACTGGGACAAACAAATTGGCTGCCCAGGAGCCTGGATTCTGAAGCAAAAGGCATTAGAGGAGATGGCAGCTGGAGGAGGGAGGCCTGGCCCAGGTCAGGAGCTGGGCAAGGCAGGAAGAAGACCTGAGACAGGGCTGAGGATGCCTTGATGTCTTGAAGCAGTAGAGAGGATCACCCAGGGCCAACAGATTTTATTTCTCTGAGGGGTGGAGACACTATTTACGAGGGCAACTTGTATTCAGATTTATTGGACCATATGAACCTCAGCCACACTGGGCAGCTCTCAGCCCTGTAGCCCCAGATGGTTGCATGTAATGTGTAGACAAATGTGGTATGAAGAAAGACCCACTGGACCATGCCACCCTGCAGGGTTGAGAGCCAGGCCAGGTCATAGTGCACATAGGGTCCTGGCTAGGTGGGGATCAGAACACTGTCTGAGGGAGGCCCAGGAAAAACTAGCTGCAGCTCAGCTCTCCCTCCCCATGCATCTTAAGAGGGTGGGCAGGGGCAAGGGTGGGACTGGTGGTGGATTGATAAGGTGTTTGGGGCCCTTCTAAAGGTATGGAGACTTCAGAGTGCCTGGCATGCCCATGGTGGTTTGAGTTGGACCCACGTCTGAAGCTGGGTCGAGGGAGTGGGAGAGTGAAGGTCACAGTTACTAAGGGACCCTTGCTGAGTGGATACTCTTTGCTGGCCCTTGGGAAGGATGGAACATGAATCCCCTTCTCCTGTGCAGGGCAGGCACAGCTAGGAAAACCAAGACTGGAGAGGTAAACAATGGCCCAGGGTCCCATCCCCTGCTGGATGGCACAGATAAATAATTGAGAACAAGGTTGGGGAGGGTACAGCCACTCAGCCCTTTACAGGCGTTGTGGAGTTTGTCGAATTATAGACTTCTGTTGAGGGGGGAAAGCTGGTGGGAAGCATTGCCCCCATCAGGCCAGACAAGCTGCCTGACCCACCTCCTGCCCCTCCAGACCTGACCCTGCAGCTGTTGGCCGTGAGGCGGAAGAGTGGGCTGCGGAGCCCCAGCCTGCAGCAGGCCCTGAGGAGCCGTCTGCGCCTGCTGGAGAATGACAGCCGGGAAGTGGCCCGTGTGCTCGGAGTGAGTCAACCCTCAGGGGCCCAGGGAGCAAGCAGGACACCTCCCTTCAAAGCAAGGACAGATGAGGAAGGTGGCGGAGCTTGGAGAGTCACTCAGGACAGTGAGGGACAGGGCTGGGCTGGGTGTCACCATCACGGACTTGGGGTTGAACGTCCCGACCTTGGTATTTGCCCGGCCTGTGTGAAACCAGCTCCTTTAGCTACACGCTGGAAATGCTTATAATTTTGTCTTCAGTGAGCTGCTGGCCCTCAAGCTGCTCCACAAACCACGCCTCTGGGCTGCCGGCTCCAGTGTTTGGATCCCAACTGACCACTTGCAATAAGAAGTGGCCTTGGTCGTCCCCCCGTCCCCCCCCCAATCAGGTGGATAATGATAATGAGTTTTTGAAATGTAAGGGATGAACCTTGCACTTGTCATCCCAACCAGGACCGTTTTTCAAGTTCTCTCCAGAGCCACACACCTGTTCTCTAGTAATTAGAAGCACTGAGACCACGGGGAATATTGTCACTCACTGTCTCTTCCTCTTAAGGAACTGTCAGCCAGGCTGCTGTCCATCCACAGTGACCAGGACCGGATCGTGGTGACGTTTAAGACTTTCGAAGAAATCTGGAAGTTTTCTACCTACCATGCTCTTGGTAAGGCAGCCGCCCTGGAGAAACCTAGCATTACATCACCCAATACTCCAGAAAAACCAGAAACAAAAGCATATGGGCCAGGCTGAGGGAGGCCAGGGCTTTGCTGCAAGATTTGGGACTGAGCCTTGTGGCCCCTCCCTGTATTTCTCAGAGGGAGGCTGGATTCTTGCACCCAAGCACACCCTGGTACGCCCAGGCCTGTCTAACTGTAGCCTGTGGACTACATACTATCCAGGACAGCTATAAATGTGGATCAACACAGACTCGTAAATTTCCTTAAAACATGAGTTTTTGGCTGGGCGGTGGTGGCACATCCTTTAATCCCAGCACTCGGGAAGTAGAGGCAGGCAGATCTCTGAGTTCAAGGTCAGCCTGGTCTACAGAGCCAGTTCCAGGACAGCCAGGGCTACACAGAGAAACGCTGTCCTGAAAAAAACAAAAACGAACGAACAAAAAAGATGAGATTAAAAAAAAAAATCAGTTGTACAGTTGTTTTCCAGTGTGCTTTGTAGGACTTTGTAGATGACAACGATGTGTTCATACCTGCAATCACGCCGTCTCTGTGGAGTTCACTAAGTCACCATTTCTTAGCCCTCTAGGCAGGCCGGGGAGGAGCCACCAAAAGCCGGGACATTGCTCAGTCTCTATGAGTCAGCTTGTCCTTTGTCTGCCCTCTGGGAACCAATAGAGGACTTTGCCATCCAGAAGACAGTGGCCTGTTTAGTTCTGTCCTGAATGTCCACCCACATTTGTTGTAAATGAAGGGTTCTCTCAGCATTTGCCCTGACTTTATAAAGGCAGGGAGGCATAGTAGTACTTGATAAAGGGATGGTCCCTATGCAGGCAGTGACAGCCAGCACCCCACAGGCCTGCACAGGATTGATGGAAATGGGCATGGAGGACACTGGCTATGACACTAGAGCATAGGCATCCCAGTGTGCAGAGCACTGTACCTTTGACATCTCTGAACCCCAAGGGACAACAAGGCCAGATGATGTAGTGGGTGGGCAGGTGTAACCCTGACAGCCAGGACAGTGAGAGCGGGACCCACAGGGTGTGGAGGTTCTGGGATATTCCTAGGGAAGAACAGTATATTAGGGTCCTCCCCAGGTCTGGTATTTGAGGTCTTGGGGTCCCCTACCCCTCCTAGAGCCTGTTGGTAATAAGCTTGGCCTTGCAGGCTTCACGCACCACTGCCTGGAGAACCTGCTGGTGGACCAGACATTCTGGTTGCTCTCACCTAGTGAGGAGGAAGAGACGGCCATTCTCATGTATGTAAACAAGGATGCCTTGAAGCAGACGCACAAGAGCCTCCTCGCCCAGGAAGGTGGGCAGCAATGGTGACCCTGGTAGATCACACAGGGCTGGGCACATTGTAGGGGACAGCTCTGGACACAGGAGTGTCTCAGGTGGGAGGCTTGATGTAGCATGAGATGCCCTAGACACTGTCACTGGTTACAAAAATGTGTGTGGCTCCCAAAGAGGTGAGGGGTGAGGAGAACAGCGAGAACGGGTTTTTGTCTAGAACCCCTTGCCCCTGATTTGAGATTGTTGGTCTCATAAAAGAAGGGCCTTGAGTCCCCAGGAAGGAATCTCAAGGCTGCGTTTCCTCTCTGGCCATGGGTGGACACTCAGGTGAGCCCAGGCTCCTTGGTAACCGTCCAAACACAAAGGGACATGGGAATCCCATGTCTGTCCCTGAATAGCACAAGTAGGAAACTGAGGCCCAGAATGAGTCTGAGTCTGCCTCCCATTGTCAGTGGAGGTGAGGCTGGGAGCTCCTTTGGGCCTCCACAGATGGGTATCCCGAGAAGAAGAGGGTGGAGTGGGCTCCTGCAGGGTCCCTGCCTCACTGTGGGTCTCTTGGGGCAGGCAGCTTTCTTGTTTGACAGTGCATGACTGCCCTGCTGGTAACACTGTTGACCATCTCTGTCCTTTCAAAGGGCCCTTCTTTATTCTGTGTCCCGACCACCGTGTGAGAATGATGATGGGACCCCAGGGTGCAGGGAAGGGCCCCCAGGTGCTCAGGCGGGCTTCGGGGGTTCCTCTGGGAATGGCAGTCCTGGGAACAGACTCCTCGTCCTCCACGCCCAGCACATCCTCCAAGGTGGAAGCAGCAGAGGCCGAGCCAGAGCCCTTGACTCCATTTCACCAGTAGGTACCAAGTTCGAATCTCCATCCTGAGGCCTTGGGTGATGTGAGGCCTCATAGACCCTATTCCAGCACAGAGAGACATGTGAGACAGACAGATGACAGGCCACTCCAGGCTCCTGGTGCTTGCTCCCTGTAATGGCTGGAAGTGTAGTCAAGTAGCCCCCTGCTTGAAGGAGCAATGGCATCTTCTAGGCAATACTGCCCAGGAGGAAAGAGTAGAGTTGTCTGTGGCACATATTACTCACAGTGCTCACTCTGGAGAGCATTTGAGGGTCACATTGAGGCACAGACACAGTAAAGACTAAAGGAAGGTAAAGCCAGAGATCACAAAGAGAGGGAACATGGCAGCTCCTGTTGACAGCAATGCATGGAGTGTAAGCTTGCTAAGAGGTTCCTGGCCACCAAAGGAAAAGGAGAAACTCCACCTCCTGAGTGACCATGCCCTTGAAGTAACAGCTGTGGCTGGAGGCCACTCCTTGCAGAGTGGGAGGAGCTTCTCCCTGGAGCACTCCCTAAGTACTGGAGCCAATGATGGTCCCATTGGGGACAGAGTGTGCCCTTCAGTGTCAGGTTCTCGACAGGAGAGGCTGTGGTAATCAGCTAAGATTTTTGGAGAAGCTGAGGCCCAAGGCGGGGGCAGTTTGACCAGGCCACACAGCTGATGAGAATCCAGGAGACCCAGAGTTGAAATCTAGGTCCTTGACACTGCTGGCCCTGGCCGCTTCAGGAGAGTGGCAGGGCAGGTGTTTGGCTGGGGCCTGGGGGTGGATGGGGGTGGGGAGTGGGGGGGAGTGGGGTGTAGGGCATAGGGGAGTGGTAGAGAGGTCTGCAGGGCTCATGGTAACAGGGGTGGCAGTGTCCCCTAGGGTGAGGCACCCAGCCTGGGCAGCACCACACACACCAGCCTCAGGGCCCCACACCTGGGCAGTTATGTTGAAGGAGGGGTGGGATTCATGTGACTCCCCAAGGGCTGCTGCTCCTGAGCATTCTCTAGGACACACCTGTCCCCTGTCTGAGACTGTAGCGCAGGCCTCTTCTCCCCGCTCCAGGTGGACTCTCAGGGTTCCATGGGATCCCATCGATGAATCCATGGATGGACCTGGGACGCCTGGTGCTCAGCTGATGGGTGCGTATCAGACTTCCCTCCCTGGGGGAGAGGCAGCAAAAGAAAGTGGCAGGGACTAGTATTCTGGAAGTTTCTGCGTTTGTCCTGAATGTTCCCTAAGTCAGAAGAAGAGGCCAGAATCTCTACTACAATACTCAGAATTATCTAAAGCCCAGAGAGATTTAGGTCCTGCCCAGCATCTGGGGAAATGGCTGGGACTCTTCTCACACCCCATAGAGCCAGGAATGTGACATCACAGGATACCTAATTGAGACTGGCTCATCGGAAGACCCTAGGCTTGACTGGCTGACGGGCCTAGAATCTGTCGGGGAGGATGGAGGATGGATATGCTCTCTGGCCCTGTCCTAGGCTTTCCTCATGAGGAGCTAGTCCTGCAGGCTGCCCTTCAGCTCAGCTTGGGGTGGGGGCATATTTCTCTGCCCCTTGTGGAGTCAGCTGGTATTTGGATGGTCCCTGTGCCTGCTACGTGACCACAGAACCCTGTGAGTGATGAGAGAGCCTAAGGTCCAAGTTGCATGAGGCAGAGTCCTGTGCCTGGAGGCTGGTGGCCTAGGGCTGAGTTCACCAGTGTGAGCCTCAGTGGCCCATCTGGTATGAGGATGAAACGGCCCCTCTGAGGACCACAAAGAGGCCCAGCTCCTCAGACCTCAGGAGCCAGGGTTCGTTTCACACACCTCTGGCCATGTTAGGGACACCAGCAGGTACCTGAGGGCTGGCTACCCTGTCTGTCCACAGGGCCTCAGATCTGACCAGATGGCCTTCTCCCTTCAGGGCTTGGCCTGGCCTCTGCAGTAGCTGACTTCCAGGGCTCAGGGCCCGAAGAGATGTCCTTCTGTGTCGGTGATGTCATCGAGATCATCGGCGCCCAGGTGCCTGGCCTGCCCTGGTGTGTGGGCCGGCACGTGGCCTCTGGCCAGGTGGGCTTTGTGAGGACTGGCCTCGTCAGCATGCAGGGCTCAGCATCTGAGTGAGTGGCAGAGGCCCCTTTCCTGAACCCCAACACTGCTCCTGCGGGGATCCTGCCACCCTCCATTAGCCTCTCAGGAGCCACCTGGGCACCGTCCTGGGCAACTCCTCCCTCCCCTCCTCCACTGAGCCTGACTCAGTCCTACATGCTCTGGTGGAAAGTGCCACATGCTAGATGTAACCTCCATTGTGGGAGCCTGAAGCCAAGGTAAAGCCACTGAGCTGCTGTGGCTCTGGGGAGTGCACCTTCCTGCTGAGCCCAGAGCCCACTGGCCTGGGCCTCTCTGGCTTCTGGCTGAATCCTTTAAGTTCCTGGTGACTCCTCAGCCATGTCTGTTTGTGAGACACTTACTGTCATACTGTACATCCAGCCAGCTCCTATCTGCCTCAGCTTAGCTTGTAACGGTCACGAAGACTCAATGTCTCAAACTGATTGCCTTCTTCCCAGGTGCCAGGGGCACAGACATTTTGAGGGTTCCTCATGTCCCCCCTTCAACATAAAACCCTGGGAAGCTTCTGGACCTGGTCTTCATGGCCTCAGATCCCATTTGCCGGCACTCCTCCCCCCACCCCACCCCCGACCCCCGACCCCCAGGCCGGTTGCACAAGGCAGCTCAGCCTTTCTTAGCTCTGAACAGATGTGGACGACTCTTCCCTGTCACCTGGTTCTCTGGAACCCTGCCAGGCTGTAATCCCACCCCTAATCACTAACCCCTGGCCCTGTTCTGTCCCTGAGAGAGCTCTGTTTGCACCTTCTCCAGGTGAGGGAACCTTCAGGGGAGTGCGCTGGTCATTTCTGGACTAACTCTGTATAGCCTTGGACAATGGTGGGTGGGGAGTGATTGGGGAGTGCCCATTGAGTCTAGCTGAGCCTACCATTGGTCAATTCCTGGTTTCCCTGGACTTGGCCTTAGTTAAGACGTCAGCTGAAGAGCCTGAAGATACAGGTGTATACAGAGAAGAACCCTGTCCTCCGCTCCTGTCCCCTCTGTAGCCATGCCTCCCTCAAACTGGACATGTTTCAATGGCCTTGCTGGAGACTGGCTACCATAGCCAACTCTCAGATGCACTTCCTAAGGTTGCTGCCATCCATATGAATCCTCTCCCTTCTATCCCCCGATTTAAAGCGCCCCACCACGAACCTGGCAGTCAGCCGGCAGACACTGGCTGGACCTTGTGTTCTGATCATACTTAGAGCAGCATTTTTCTGGAACCCATCAAAATGTCAGCATGCATTCGGAATGGGGACACAGTCTATCTACACCCCTTGTGGGTGACCTCCACTGACGTTCCACCCGGCTCCAGGACAGAGAATTTGGGGCTCTCCCTTTCTGTACTGGGCAAAGTCACTTCACACGGTAACCTCATTAGCTCAGCTGGGTCTTTGAAACAGCAGTGTGGCTCCTGGCTTGTGTCCTGAGGTCTCTCATTACAGAGATGGCACAGCTCTCCAGGAAATGCTTCCTCTGCCCCTGACCTCTTGGCAGGTGTAGGATCCTGGTAGCTTCAGTGGTTCTGAACTTAGCAAAAGTCAGGGCTAGAAGGGACGGGGTCTGGTCCATTCTCCCCTGTCTCCCCAGAGTCTTGGGGGTGGCGGCATCATCTTTCACAGCCTGTGAAAGTGTAAGCACTTCTCTGTCTCTGTCACTCAGATATTTTCTGACACTTCTCCTGCCCTGATTCTGGGGTCTCCCATCTTGATTCTCCTTTTCTTCTCTCTTGATGTAATCTCAGACTTATGGAGAAGGTAGGAGCAGACAGCAACATCCCATCCCTTACCTGCTGATGCCTAAGGCCAGCTTCTCCTCTTGGTTGCTTCCTCTTTTCTTTCTCCAGAGCCTCTGAGAATGAATTATGCAGCTCATGGGTCCTTTACCCCATTGCAGTACGCGGCTCTTAAAGCCAGGATCTCAAGTATAACCCCAGGGCCAGTGTCAGAAATCAAGAAATTCACATCACCACCGTGCCGTTCCCAGCCAAAGATGATTCCAGAGTGCGTTTCGCACTCACTGCGGCGGCACCTGCTTCGCTCCATCCTAACTGTCCTCGGCCGCCTTCTCCTCTGATGCTTCTGAAGCAGCGGCTCATTGTGAGGAGGCCCAAGGGCTGGGTGTGGTTTCCATGATTCACAGAAGGTGCATTTTAAAGTTTCACATCGCCCTGCCAACTTACTCCTATAAGCAAAATCACCTCCTCCATCTGTCTTCTTCTCTTGTCCCTCTGTCCCTTTCTGTGTCCTCTGCCTGACTTCATGGCCACATGAGCCCTGTCCTGTGTTCAGTACTGGGGGAGAATGGTGGTTTCGCAGTGGGCCGTTCAAGTGGGGCTCAAGAGTCAGCCTAGGCACTCACCTTCTCGGGATCTTTATGATCTAGATCTCTTTTAAAAAATTAGAGATTATTTTATTTATGTGTATGAGTGTTTTGCCTGCATTTATGTCAGTCTGTGCTCCACATGGATGCTTGGACAGAAGAGGGCAAGGGAGTCTCTGGAACTGGTGTTATAGATGGTTGTGTCTAGGAACCAAACTCAGAGACCCTCTACAAGAGCAGTAATTACTCTTAATTTCTGAGCTGTTTCTTCAGCCCACTTAAAGTCTTTCTTAATCCTGGGCCCAACAAGGGTCCTCTCAAGGGCAGGCTTTGGGTTTTGTTGTTGTTTGTTTTCTGAAGTGGGGTTTCTCCGTGCAGCCCTGGCTGTCCTGGAACTCATGCTGTAGAGCAGGCTGGTCTCGAACTCAGAGATCCTCATGCCTCTGCCTCCTGAGTGCTGGGTGGGATTAAAGACCACCATGCCAGGTAGGCAGGCTTTGTTTATATTTAGGGTCTCCACGGTGGTTGAGCATGGCCAGCAGTTGAATAAAGGAGAAGAAATGGATCTTACTGTGAAATTTGGACTTATGTTAAAAAAAAAAAACAAAACCCAAATTCAGCTGTAGAGATAAATGGCTGCTGATCATGATTCTGAATCTGGAGGTCTCTATCCTACAAAAGAGAACACAGCTCCCAGGGGGCAGTGTCCTCTAAGATAGGAGAAGAAAATGCAATGGAGTGAGCCACCTGGCTCTTACAAGAGGGAGCTCAGCTGACCCGTGGCTCTGCTCCAGCGTTCTGGAATGACAGTAAGCTCAGTTAACCTGCAGGCAAGCGACTCCATTGGCCGGATTCCATTCTGCCCACTCACCCCGGGGCCTCCTGGGCTTTGAGAGAATTAGTTCTTCGAAATATGACATTTTCTTTTTTTTGTCTTCCCAGCCTGGAAAGTGCAGTTTTCCTCAGTGAGGAAGAAAGATCATTCTTTAGCAGTGAGGGCCACTTCTCAGATGAGGATGCTCGGCGGCTCCTGAGCAGGACATCTGGCACAGATGTGTGCACCACATGCAGCCTGGGTAGGTGTGGGGAGCGTGTGGCACCTCTATTCTCTCGGAGCTGTTGGAGACATCAAGATTGTGCTGACTGAGTCATATTAACCTAGAGTCTTCTCAGGGCAGATTCCTGGAAGAGCAGGAACTTCGATGAAGGGTGTGGTCCAAATGTTTTGCAACCGCGTAGAGCTCAGTGGTCTGCTTTAGGCCACACGTTACGGTTGCTCTCTGCCCTACCAGCATTAAGTCATTATACTATTACCTTAGTCTCCAGAGAGTTGGGTGCTAGTTGCATGCTTCTGGCTCTTTCCAAGCTCCTCAGAGACCCTTTCCTCCCCTCCCTTTGCAACTACACCCCATCTCTCAGGGCATCCCCAAAGAAACAATGAAAGCCCCACCAGGGATCAGGGAAAGACAAGCCAAGAATGTGCCCTCAGGTCTGGGTGCAGGCAACCAGGATCAGTATCCAAAGACATCAGGAGCTGGTAACAAAAGAAGGAAGTCCTGAGGCCCTCGCTGCTGAGAGAACCTATCTCCACTGTCCCAGGCACCAGATGACACACTGAGCCCTTAGCTTCTTTCTGAGTGTGGGGAAGCCTGGGGCACCCACTGGATATGACCAGCACCCTTACCAATACAAGGCTGGCCCCTCTGCCAGTGCTAGTCAGAGTCACTTCTCCCAGCTCCAGACAGAACTGGCTCCATGGTTGTTGGTTGGCCTGGGGCATTTGGTCCCTAGAATCCCAGGACTGGAACTACCAAAATGCAATTCTTCTCCCCTAGATAAGCCTCAAAGTTTTGCCTGATGTCATAACTTCCTAGTTTTTATGTCTTCTTCTGCTCTTTTCCTCATTTGATTGCTATGGCAATCCAGCAGGCAGTTAGTGCCAACCCAAGGAGGTGGGAATGTGGCTCGAGTGCCACCCTGGGTGAAGAGCAATCAGCCCGGTTCATTCTGCAGCTGTGCCCTGCTTGCCCAGGAGCTGACAAGGATCACAGGCATCCTCAGGAGGAGTGTGGGGATGGGGCACCAGGGCTAGACATGTGCTGCATCGTTGCCTGGAGAAATCTGAAAACATGGATTCTCTGGCCCTGATCGTCACAGGCGCTGGTGACTGGAGAGCTTGCATTCACCTGGCCCCATGAGGCAGGACACAGGTAGAAGAGTGACTGCTTCTCTTTTCCTTTTCCTAGACTGGTTAGAAGAAGCTGAGGGGGAGCAGCTGGAGCAACGAGGTAGGTAGTGCCCTGTGGCTCGGGTCCTCTACCCATGGCTCAGTCTCAGGTACCAGGTGTGAACACAGGGAGGAGGCAGCAGCAGATAGTGGTCTCAGGCTGGCCTCAAACACACTGTGTAGCAAAAGAGAATCTTGACCACTTGATCTTCCAAGTGCTGGAACCGTAAGTGTGCACTACCACACCTGGCTTCAGATTGTGTGAGCATATTTTTTTAAAGATTTATTTATTTTTGTTTTATGTGTATAAGTGTTGGTCTGCATGTATATGTGTGCATGACATATGTGCCTGGTGCCTATGGAGGCCAGAAAAGGGCACTGGATCCCCACTGGAACTAGAATTAAAAATGGTTATGAGCTGCCATGTGTGCAGGGAACCAACCCTGTGTCCTCTGGATGAACAGCAGGTCCTCTTAACTACGGAGCCATCTCTCCAGCACATGTTTGGAGCATATTTGAACTATCAAACTTGAGAGCAAAGAGGCTGTTTCATCCCAGTGGAGGAGCCCCAGAGCCTCTGTTCACTCATTGCCTTTCAAATAACTCCATGTAAAGCTTGGGTTTTCCCAGTAGGAAATAGGTGTCTGCTCTGCCCCATGGAGGGGTGTGGCTTTGGATCTGAGCCCATCTGAGGCCAAGGTCCTGCTAGCAGGTGGCGGTAGATTGTGCTCAAGGGCCAATCTGTAAACCTTCCCTGGGATCATCCCCCAAGGAGACTCTGTCCCTTTCCCATGGTATAGCTAAGGCCAATGACCTCAGCCTCGCTGTCAATCACTGTCATTAGTTTTGTCTGCCTTCTCCTGTGTGTGTGTGTGCGTGTGTGTGTGTGTGTGTGTGTGTGTGTGTGTGTGTGTGTGCGTGCGCGCGTGCATTGCTGGGTATTGAACCCAGGCCATATGCATTTTAGGTACACTGTTTGTCACTGAGCTATGATCCATACAGCCCGGTTAACTCTGTCCATTTTATGGGGCAGCCTTTGAGCCCATGCTTATTAGTTGTGCCAATGGCTGTCGGAGATTTCATGGCTTCTAGAGTCTGAGGGGCCTGCAGAAACACACACCTGCGGCCAGACTCTGACTGTGGGTCGGTGGTTTGGCAGCTTTCAGTTCTTTCTAAGGCCATCTGCAAGCCACCCCTATACTCTGACATGTAGGGTCTCTGAGCTCTGTTGTCCAAGGGCAGGTCAAGGAGAGGGGGCTGCTGGGTAGGAAAGTTGACAAGAAGAATCAGGACTGATCCTGATTCAGCCTCCAGTGCTCTGGAATCAGGGTAGAAAAGTGTCATCCAGAACATGAGGCTAGGGGAATAGTAGGTGGGGGCAGAGATGGGGGATAGTTGGGACTCAGGTCCAAAGCTAATCCCACTGGGCCTTCTGTGACTTCTAGAAATGTCTCTACATCACCCGAACCCAGAACCACATGAGACTCTGCACATGGTAAAAGACATTCTAGAACGGTGCAAGGCCTGCCCTGACCACCCTGAAGACCCAGTATCCTGGAGCCTTGGAGCAGTGTCCAGCAGAGTGAGTACACCAGACACTGAGGAGCCCCTCTTCTGCCTGGATCCTGAGGATGACTGGACAGACCCTGAGCCTCCAGACTCGCTGCTGCAGGTCCTGAACGCCCCTGGTTATGAGGCCCACTTCCGGGGCCTGTATGACATCTCACTTCCCTGGTTGGGCACTGCACTCTGTGGCTTTGATGATGAAGAGGAGTTGGCCGGACGCTTGGCACAGGCCCGAGGAGTTGCCAAGAAAGTCAATTTGGGCCTGGCCCTGGCCAGGCTCTGCCTTCTGCTGGGGAGGCTGTGTGCTCGAAAACTCAAGCTATCCCAGGCCCGGGTGTACTTTGAGGAAGCACTGGGGGCTCTGGAGGGCACTTTTGGGGACCTCTCCCTGGTGGCGGCAGTCTATACCAGCCTGGCTACCGTGTATCTGAAGCAGAAGAACGGGGAGAAGTGTGTGCAGGTGGCACCCAAAGCTGCAGCCCTTCTCCTGGGGACGCCCGGCCATGCATACAGCACAGATGCTGAGCTCCTGAAGTACGCACTGCGCAGGGCCATCTGTGGCCTCAGCCCACAGGCTGAGGCCCGGGCCTGCTTCCTGCTGGCCAGGCACTACACCCACCTCAAGCAGCCTGAGGAGGCACTGCCCTACCTGGAGAGACTGCTTCGCCTCAACAGGGATGTGGGGACCCCGCAGGCCTCATGGCCTGAGGACTGTTACCTGCTCCTGGCGGACATCTATGGCCGGAAGTGCCTGCCCCACTTGGCATTGAGTTGCCTCAGGGTGTCCTCACTGTGGACTAGCTGCTCATTGGCTGGCTCCTTGAGGAGTGTGGACCTGGTACTCCAGAATGCTCCTGGGCCAAACAGCCAAAGGAGGGCAAGCCACCACCTCCCCTCCCAGATTGCTTTCTACCTCAGGCAGGCATTGGCCTCTCTCACTCCGGGCATGGGACAGGCACTGTGTGGGCCTCTCTATGCCAGCCTAGCTCAGCTGTACAGCCACCATCAGCAGCACAGTCAGGCCATTGCCTTCATGTCTCAGGCTGCAGAAGCAGACACTGCGACTGGGGTCCACGCTGTCGTGGACCGCTTGGTGGCGCTTGCCTGGCTGCACATGCTCTGTGGGAAGACCTTAGTAGCTACGGACATCCTGAAGTCCCTCTCAGATGCAGCTGTGGCCAACAAGGACCAGGAGTGTGTGATGACCAACATGGCAGCCATGGCCCTGAAAAGGATGGGCAGGACCCGGCAGGCTGCGGAAGGCTACTTCCGAGCCCTGCACATGGCCTACAGCCAGGGTCACCTGCAGAGCCAGGCAGTAGTCCTGGCTAACTTTGGGGCCCTGTGCCTGCAAGCGGGTGCACGTAGCTTGGCCCAACACTACCTGCGGGAGGCGGTGGGGCGCTTCTCCCAGCTGCCCAGTGGTGTGTGTGGCCGGGACTTCACTCAGGTTCTCCTGTGGCTGGGCCAGCTCTGCACCCGCCGGGCCCTCCCCCAGCAGGCCAAGTGCTACTACGAGTGGGCCTTTCTGGTGGCTGTGGAGATGGACCATCTGGAGAGTAAGTACCACCCTTCTCCCCGCTCCACACCTCCTGGGGGTCTGCATGGGTCATGCTGGCTTCCGAGAAAGTGTGTCTGCCATTCCTAACTCAGAGCATCCTGGGGTGGGAGGCAGAGGGCAGAGGCTGTTTGTCCACTGAATAGTAGAAACCTGGAAATGTCTGCTACCACCTTTGATGCCTCTTCCCATGCTGGGTCATATATAATGACACATGGGAGGTGTTGAAAGTATCTTACTCTAGGAACTCCACATGCCTGCCCCAGCACCAGAATGAAGCTTTCCTTAGACATAATACTGAGCTAACAGAAGCCTGGGACTCTGTGAGCTAGACCTCCAGTTCTGTCTTCTCCAGCCCTGAACACCTCACATGGCCTCTTTATAGGAGTTACCAGAGCTTTAGAACAGATCAAATTCACCCACAGGGACCTTATCCAGGTGTGATCCTGGCCCCATCCACAAGTGAGACCATGTTGTTCTTGCTGGGGTCTGGAGCTGAACAGAAAACTGACGGCCGGGTCAGAACAGCCATAGAGAGGGTCATGGGTGTGCTCATAGGCAGCTCTGTTCCAGCCTGTGACTTGGGGATGCTTCTTTGGTCTGAGGCTAAAGGATTGAGGGAAGGTTAGCCAAGCAGGGAGTGCTGGGTAGGGAGCTGAGGGCAGGGTGACTGAACCCATGCACTTTGCAGTATTGGATGGGAAACCTGGACGGGGGTGCTAAGCATGAACCAGGAACCCCAGCCTATGCTTTGCCCCTTTTCCAAGAGGACTGGAGCGCCATCAAGTGCTGAAGAACACTCACTATGGCTGTGGAGAAGATGGATAGGAGGTGGGTCTGACTGGAGTCTGTTCTCCAGCAGAGGCCTAACCCACCCTTGAGGTCTCATGGACATGATTGTGTAGAGGGAGAGAGGAGGGAAGCAGGGTCCAGAAGAGAAGGTCAGGCCTTGGCAGGACAGACTCTGGCATGGAAGGACCCCAGGAAGCCTCAGGTTACAGCCTCCGTCTGTGGGCCAGACTACCACAGCCTCAGCAACCTGGCCACATAGCCACCAGCCCATCCCTGCCAGGCCTCCCCAGATGCCCCCTCAAACTCAGACAGCAGCAGCAGAGGACCTAGCTAAATGTGTCCCTTATCCCCTGGGAGGCTGAGGGATGACTCCAGGGTTACAGGACAGGTCACTATTGAGCCGGTGTTGGGGCACTGTGTCTTCCTAGGAAGCATTCTGATGTGTTGATGGGCAGTGGTTCACAGTGGCCCGTCCTTTCCATGAGACCGTCAGCAGCGTGCCCCCTCATGTCTGGTTTTAGAAGTTTGCAGCCTCTTTTCTTGGTCAGGCTGGTGAAAGGTTTATAATTCTGTAGAAGCACCGGACTTTGGCTTTGTGAGTTTCCTCTACTGTCTGCCTGCTCTCCCCAGCAGCCTGGTTGTTCCTTATTAGTTCATTAAGATGGGAGTTGAGGAGCTGGAGAGGTGGCTCAGAGGTTAAGAGCACTGGCTGTTCTTCCAGAGGTCATGAGTTCAATTCCCAGCAACCACATGGTGGCTCACAACCACCTGTAATGAGATCTGGCGCCCTCTTCTGGCCTGCAGGTATACATGCAGACAGAACACTGTGTACATAATAAATAAATACATCTTTAAAAAAAAAAAAGATGGGAGTTGAGGTTTGAGGTTTTTCCCCCTCCCTCCTCCCTCCTCACCTTCCCTTCCTCCCCACCTCTCCCCCTCCGTCCTATCTCCATCAAAAGCATTCACCACTATCAGTTTTCCCTTCAGCTGCTCAGCTTTTCAACATCCCTTAAGTCTTTATTGTTATTATTATTATTATTATTATTATTATTATTATTATTATTATTTTACATGTATAGGTGTTTTGCTTTCATATATATCTGTGTACCACATGTGTGCCTGGTACCTAAAGAGGTGTCAGATCTCCACTTTAGATGCCCTGGGACCAGAGTTACAGATGGTTGTGAGGCTCCATGTGGGTGCTAGGAATCAGACAAAAGTCTCCTGTAGGAGAAGCCAGTGCTCTGGACCACTGAGCCGTGTCTCCAACCCAGTCATCCCTTAGACGTCTATGCTTCTGTTTCCTGTGTCTCTTCCTTTAACCTCTGACTATTCAGGAATGGGCAGCTTAACTTCCATATATCCGTGAACTTACCAAATGCTCTACTGTTAGTGATTTCTGTTTGTCTGTCTCAGCAGGACTGAGAACCATCCTAGGGCCTCATGCATGCTAGACAAGTGCTCTGTAACCATTCTGTATTCCCAGTCTTCTTTTTGCTTTTCACAGACGATAAGGTCTCATTAAGTCGCCCAACCTGGCCCGGAACTCATTCTGTAGTTCAGTTTTGCCGCTGTGTAGCAAAAGAACACATTCCCGGTGACTGCCATACTTTTGCATTTACTGAGGCTTGGCCAGTGTGTGTCTTTAGAGACGGCCTCATGAGCCCTTGTGAAGAAGCCCTTGAGGTCTGGCTGACTTATGGCACAGCTAAGCCTTCTGCCTCAGTGTGATTTCCGGGTTGACAGTTGGGGATACCTCATGGCTCCCAGCCCCTTCCTGGCCTTGGGATAGCCCGGGGAGCCATGGCGTGGAGCTTGGCCTCCTGAAGAAGCACAGGCTTGTGGGTGCCTGAGCTGGGCCGAATCCATTATTCTATGTGGCAGGCTCCAGGCAGGGTGCTGGCTGTGGACTGTCCGTGTGCCCAACTATATTGAGCTGCCATTTCCCTGGCCATGAGGCCAGGGTGGAGGTGGGGAGAGTGTGGGAAGACAGAAACAGTGGGTGTGGAGCAGGGCAAGAGCCTGCGCAGGACCCTACCCTGGACTGGTTGAAATGGTCAGCACTATCGATGGGCTTCCCTGGTATGTCAATTAATGGGAACCTCATGGAGTACCATTCTGCAGACTACATAGCCTGGCTCTGGGGTCAGTATCCTCATTTTTGAGGATCTGACTTATGGAAGTAAAGAGGCAGTCATACACCAGAACCTTTAATCCCTACCTACACAGGCACTGGGGCTCCTCAAAGGGGATGGAGCCAGGAGGGTAGCACCTCTCTCTGTCCCCACCCAGGTCAGTTACAGGCTGTGCGAAAGCTCTGCCACTTCTACAGCAAGGTCATGCCCAACGAGGTGCGATGCGTCATCTACCATGAGTTCCAACTGGCCCTGGCTCGCAGGACAGCGGACAAGGTGCTGGAGGGTCAGCTCCTGGAGGCCATCAGCCAGCTCTATCTGTCACTGGGCACCGAGCGGTAAGAACAGCAGGGCACACAGAAGGCCTGGGGAGCCCCTCCCCCCAGGAACCAGCCAAGCCCCAACCCCTCAGGGCCGGTATCATTCCATTCATTGTTCGCAACATAGGAGTCCCAGCATAGGCCTCTCTGATAAGGGACTAGCCCTCCCATTCTCACTTTCTTGGTTACACAAGGGTCACCTCTACAAGGCATTTTGAAGCCATCCATGAGTGGTTGCTGCTGTGAGCTGACCTCTACTGGCCCCTGGTCTTTCAGTTGTCAGCCTGGGGTCAGGGCAGTGGGATGTCATTCATCCACTGGACACACCGTGGTGGCCACATGCTCTCCAGGCTCCTAACCACAGAGGGCAGAGCCAGCTTCCCTGGAGCCAGGTCTCAGGGTCACGTTTCGGGTGTGACCGACACTGGAGTTCTGCCTAGCCTGCAAGCTGGTAAAATCCTCAATGTGACACCTCCCCTAAGTCAGGGACACCGGAGCAGGGGAGAGGCTGTGAGGAAACAGGAGAGGCTCCTGTCCCAACACAAAACTCACCGCAGGAGCAGTGAGCCAGCAACCCAGATCAAAGCTTCTTGGGTATGTCCCTGGACTGCGGTCCATCTCCCTGGGAGTTTGTTGGAGGTGCTCAGCCATAGTCAGGCCTCAGGTCAGAAACTTAGAGCAGGGACAGGGGCTGCTGAGAGCAGTCCTCTGTGCTGCTGAGGTGTATACAAGTTGGAGAAGCCCTGGCCTAGGATCTGAATCTGCCCTATGCCAATGTCTCCCTGGTGTCCAGAAAAGACAGAGACTGTGTCTTACTTGGCGATTCTTTTTTTTTTTTCAATTTGTTTATTTTATGTGCATTGATGTTTTGCCATGGGTATCAGGTTCTCCTGGAACTGGAGTTATAGTCGTGAGCTGCCCTGAGGGAGCTGGGAATTGAGCCCTGGTCCTCTGGAAGAGCAGTTAGTGCTCTTAACCGCTGAGTCATCTCTCCAGCCCCTAGTTAGGGTTTCTATTGCTCTGATAAAACACCATGACTACAAGCAGCTTGAGGGGAAAGGTTTTATTTCCATTTATACTTCCATATCTTAGCCCCATCACTGAGAAAAGTCAGGGCAGGAACTCAAACCAGGGCAGGAAGCTGGAGGCAGGCACTGATGCAGAGGCCATGGAGGGTGCTGCTTACTGGCTTACTCAGTCTTCATTCTTATAGAGCCCAGGACCACTGGCCCAGGGATGGCACCACCCACCATGGGCTGGGCCCTCCCACATCAATCATCAATCAAGAAATCACACTGTGGGCTTGCTCACAGGCCAGGCTGGTGGGGACATATTCTCAAATGAGGTGCCCTATTCCCAAATGACTCTAGCTTATGTTAGTTGCTAAAAAAAAAAAAAAAAAAAAAAAAAAAAAATTAGCTGGATTCAGCATGTGGGGGTTGACAGAACAAATAGGGGTTACTTATACTTAGCTGCCAGTGTTCCCTCCGAAGAATTCCATGTCTTTCCATGTCAGGGTGCCTGGGGCAGGACAGGAGGCTGCCCACAGAGGATTCCCTCAGGTTCTGACCATTCTGTAGGCAGATCCTGTTCTGATGCCTGTGTCTGACCCCAGGGCCTACAAGTCTGCTCTGGATTACACCAAACGGAGCCTGGGGATCTTCATCGACCTGCAGCAGAAGGAGAAGGAGGCACGCGCCTGGCTGCAGGCTGGGAAGATCTACTATATCCTGCGCCAGAATGAGCTGGTGGACTTGTACATCCAGGTGCGCTTAGTGCCGTCGGGGTACACCGGTTCACTCACTCCCCACCCAACCCACCTAACGACCCAGTCACCTGCCCTGCCCCCACTTGTTCATCTGCCTAACTACCACTCACCCCCACCCACACCCATCTACCTACCCTCCTAACTACCCACTCACCATTTACCTGTCTATTAACCTATCCACCAATCCACCCATCCACCTGTCTACCCACTCACCATTTACCTGTCTATTAACCTATCCACCAATCCACCCATCCACCTGTCTACCCACTCACCCAGCCATCCACCAATCCACCTGTATATCCACCCATCCATCCTTCCAGCCTACCCATTTATTCACTCATCCATTCATCCATCTCCCTGTTGACCACACATTCATTTGCCTACCCATCTACCCGTCCATTCATTTTTCCACTCATCTATCCATCTACTTGTCCATCTGCTCACCCATCCATCACTGGTGAGTGTACTTACTGTGTCCCAGGGGCCTGCCTCTTTCCCACTCTGGCTCCCTCAATCTCCCTCAATGCCCAGACTATCCGACAACCATCTGAGCTCCCCGGACAGAGGGCGGGCTCCTCATAGTACCCATCTCTTGTCAGTACACAGTGAGTGCTTGGTGTATGTGGGGATGCTGTGTCCACTTTGTTTGTACACAGAGGAACTTGTTTCAGTGTCTCATGGTACATTTACTCTAAAACATGTTTATTAAGAAAGCTGTGATGCTTCCCGAACACAGTGTGATCTGGACAGATAAGGAGCACAGGAGCAGCACTGTGAAGTGAGTGTCTAGGATCCAGGAGCCCACGGCTCAGGGGGTCCTTGGGCCGAGGCAGGCAGTGTCAGCAAACAGCTATGAATCAGGGTGGGAAGCTAGCACCACTTGCTAGAAGAGAATATTAGGGGGCTGGAGAGATGGCTCAGAGGTTGAGAGCACTGGCTGCTCTTCCAGAGGTCCTGAGTTCAATTCCCAGCAATGACATGGTGGCTTACAACCACTTGTAATGAGATCTGGTGCCTTCTTCTGGCCTGCAGTCATACATGCTGTATACATAATAAATAAATAAATCTTGAGAGAGAGAGAGAGAGAGAGAGAGAGAGAGAGAGAGAGAGAGAGAAAAGAGAGAGAGAATGAGAATATATTAAGGTCCAACCTAGAAGCTGGAGAGTGAGCAGATTTATTCTCTCATCACTGAGTAGGTGTTTATTGGGCATCTACTGTGCACCAGGCATTGCAGGCATCCCTGAACACAGCAGAGAAGCTGCAGCATCAGGCCCTGTCTTGTGGCACTGAAGGGGGAGAAGGTGAGCATGGATGGGTCAGGAAGGAACAGGATGCCGTGGGAGCCACAGGCAATGTAGGGGCAGGAAGCTGTGATTCTAACATAAGGGGCAGGCCAGACACCTAGGCAGCCCACACCTGCTGGACTCTTGGGCTGCAGCTAGACCTATATTTCCTAGCTCTCAGGTCCTGAAAGCTGCTCTCCTCAGAGCCAAAAAGCCACAGGAACTGAAATGTTGGTGCCACCAAGTGTGAGGCTGCCCATCTTAGAGGCATGACCTCCCTAGGGGGTCCTATCTTCAGAGAACTTCTGGTCCTTCCAGGTGGCACAGAACGCAGCCCTGTATACTGGGGACCCCAAGCTGGGGCTGGAGCTGTTTGAGGCAGCTGGCGACATCTTCTTCAACGGGACCTGGGAGCGGGAGAAAGCTGTGTCTTTCTACCGGGTGAGTGGCCACCGTAGGCAGGTAATGTGTGCTTCACATGGGTGTCCCTCGGTGGGCACAGGTGTGGCAAGCAGAGGCTTCCCACCTGGAGGTAGAGAGCATCAGTGTAGTGATCTTTGAGCCCTCTGTAAAGCACAGCATATGCCTCATACCTGTATGCTGATATCTAAAGCAGTCCTGGGTGGGACATCCTGTCACCTTACAGATGAGGAAGCTGAGCTTAGAGGGTCATAGGCATGTATAAAAGGACACACGGTGTGCCAGGGAAGACATGGGCTTCTCCTCGGTCCTCTTGGCTGACAGTGTACAGTTGGCTCTGGGCTCACACACTATGCATTCTAGTAGATTACTCAGTTGTACCACTCCTGGGCAGAGAGGCACAGGCTGGTCTGAGGTTGAAGGTCTAGATGACTTGGTGGGGGTCACCCCAGCTCTCAGCCTGGGGTGTCAGGACAGAACCATCCTCTGTCCCGTGACAAGACCATACAGTGGGGGGTGGCATTCCTTGCACACATGTGGGCCCAGGAGGTATTGCATGGTGCACACTGCAGAAGCCTAATCTCAATATGTGGCCAGGACCAGGCGCTGCCCCTGGCTGTGACCGTAGGGGACCAAGAGGCAGAGCTGCGCCTATGCAACAAGCTGGTGGCCCTTCTGTCTGCACTGGAGGCACCCCAGGAGGGCCTAGAGTTCGCCCATGAGGCCCTAGCACTCAGCATCACCCTAGGTGAGTCCCCAGCCCTGGGCCCTGCTCTGCACTCCATCCTACTGGGTCTTCAGCCCCAGGTCTGCAGAGCAAAGCAGGCATTGCTCGGCTTCTCCCATCCCCTGTGAAGGCTGACTGAGCTGGCAGTGTCCAGCCCTAGCCGAGCACAGAGCAGGCAGGAACTGCAAGAGAGCAAAGCTCTGAGGCTCTCTCTCTTGCTGCAGCCCATGCTGCCCAGCTGCTTTTCACACAGGTGGACTTGTGTATGCTGTCCTTTCCCGTGTCCCTTCCCCATCACACCTGTCCTCACTGTCTGCAGCCTGTTTCTTAGTACTCGGCTACCTTCTCTTCAGCACTGACCGGGACTGCCTGTGTTCCTCCTGGGAGGGAACCCTGAGTGGGGCCTCAGGCCTGCAGGAGGAATGCAGCTGAACTGAAAGCGCTGAGACCAGGCTCCGTGAACTGGTACTCAAGTCCACCCACGTAGGTTACCTGTTTGCAGGGGGAGGCCCAGGACTCTGAGCATGGCTCCCTAAGGTGATAGACCGTGCTGGAACATATAAGGCAGCAACCACAGCCAGTCCTTGAGTTCTGTGCCTGAGAATGCATAGATAGATCATGGGCCTCGCCGAAGGCACCCCCAGGCGGCTCCATGCAGACACAAAGTGGGGCCCGTGGGCCTGCAGCTTTGCCAGATCTGGAAAGGGAAAGGGAGCCGCTGTCATTAGCTCACTTTACAGACGAGAAAATGAGTCCAGGGAAAGGACTGGCTAGCGCAGCCTGGTTTAAGTCTGTGAGTGTACACCGCTACCTGGCCTGCTGCTGCATTTGCACGCATGCTCCTTCCTGATTGGCTCATGCCTGGCTTGCCCCACTGGGCAGTGTCCCCACACCTGCCTCTCTACCTGCACCCCCAGGTGACCGCCTGAATGAGCGAGTGGCCTATCACCGGCTAGCCACCCTCCACCACCGGCTGGGCCACGGAGAACTGGCTGAGCATTTCTTCCTCAAGGCCCTGTCACTCTGCAGCTCACCCCTGGAATTCGATGAGGAGACCCTGTACTATGTGAAGGTGTACCTGGTGCTAGGTGACATCATCTTCTATGACCTGAAGGTGGGCAAGAAGGGGCTCAGCCTGGGGCAGAGTCACTGCTCTGCCTCAGTGTGCGGTCTGCTCTTACGGTGATTGCCTCCCAGTCATGGCCTCACCACGTTCTCAGGGAGCAAGGCCTGGCTGTGAGAAGCCAGCAAGGTCAGCGGACAGGGCTAGTTTTTTTGTGCTGGTCAGGCTTGGCCCTCTCATGTGACAAGGAGAGGGCACAGGGTCACCATATACCAGCAGTGGGAAAGGAGTTAGGGAGCTTCCTGGATGTGGTGACCCCCAAAAAGAACATAAAGGGACAAGGACATTTATGTCAATGGCTCCTGAGACTCATATTGCAGAATCCAGCCCCCATCCGGGTGCCTCTTCCAGCAAGCCCAGCTGGAGTGCCAGCCTTTTCCCACAATTCCTTGTTGGAATTCTGTGGCTTCTGTCCCTCATCATCTGGGAGGGGTAGGTGGAGATATTACCATCCTGCCTCAAAGTGAAGGAAACTGAGGTTCAGGAAGGGGTACACCGATTGCAGGCTCCATTTCTGGGTCTTTGCTGGTCACAGCTGCAGGTACATGTATGAATTTGAGCTGCCACACACATGCAGACACATGTACTTCAGCTGTCTTTCCCACTCAGCTGGGTGCCCTCTCCTCCACAGCTTCTATCCCCCTGAGGTGCGGTATCTCCCATGCTCCCCCACGTCACAGAGTTAGCTAGGGAGAGGTGGCCTTGAGCCCGGGGGAGGAGTGTCCACCATCTGTACATGGCCCACTCTGCTCTGTTCTTGGGTCCTGGCTCTGTGGGTCTGGTACAAGAGGAGACATTAGTAGAAGACATAGTACATCTTGGGCTTTGTTGCCAGTCAAGGGAGATGTCGCAGATGCTGAACAAGGGGAGGCAGGCTGGGTGGGGTCTCAGGAAGCCCTCAGGTCACTCTTCTGGGGAGAAACCTCTAAAAGAAGCTAGGACGGGAGACTCCTGTGGGGTGGGTCCAAAGTCCAGAGGGAGTTTGCATCCTACTGGGGTGTTGAGTTTGAGGCAAAGATGCACTTGACCTGGGAGTGAGCTGTGTCACACCTCATCTTAGTTCCCAGGGACATGGGCCAATTGCACAATCACCCAACCAACAACATGGGGCCAGGAAGCCCCCAGAGCCAGTGAGGCCCTGCAGTCTCAGGGCACCTACCTCCCCCAAGGAAGGCAAGTACTAGGGCTGAGGCAAGGTAAGATCCAGACATCAGGGAGGCTCACGGGAGAAGAAGTAGAGGCCATGAGAGGTCAAGGCCTTAGGCTCTGGAATCCGGGACGAAGAAGGAGACTTTAGAAAAGGGACACAGCTGTGTACACAGGAAGGCCCTGAGGGGCAGCCATAATGCTGTTCCAGGCCACCTGGATCTCTGAGTCATATTTGGGGTAGGGTATGCCTGTTGCTGCTCTGAGCCAGCCCCCAAGCTGCTGTGCTCTTAGCTGGGACAGTTTCAAAAAAATGGCGCCCAAACACAAGGACCAGGAAGCTCTAACCTTGTTGGGGAAAGAGGCTAAACTGTGATTGTGATGGAGCAAGACGGGATGTCCTCCTCCTAGCCTGATATGGCCTGTGGGTCAAGCACTATGGGTGGGTGTATCCGAGTGACCCTGGGATAGTGTAGTCCTTGGGGATTGCTCCTGGTATCCTCCCCTCCCCCACCCCACCCCACTGCAGTGAGTCAGCTAAATCCCAGTCAAACACATCTATCTACCCACAGGACCCATTTGATGCTGCTGGGTATTACCAGCTGGCACTGGCAGCGGCCGTGGACCTGGGCCACAAGAAAGCTCAGCTGAAGATCTACACACGCTTGGCCACCATCTACCACCACTTCCTCATGGACCGTGAGATGTCCCTCTTCTTCTACCAAAAAGCAAGGACCTTTGCCTCAGAACTGAACCTCCGTAGGACCAACCTGGTGCCCCAGCGCTTCTGTGGCCGGGCACTCTGGCTGGCCCCTGGCCACCCATCCTGACAACCTGAGAAGGATCTGTGCAATGGGACTCTTCTTTGAGTGTGAATGCCTTGTTTCAGGGAGAGGGGTGTGCTGAAGGAAGGACCAAACAGTAGTAAAGGAAGGACCAAACAGTAGTAAATATTTTTCAGCAACTGTAGCACCATCAAGTATATGGTATGCGTCCCATTGGGCGCAGGCTCTGCCCCTCCCAGTTCCCTGACCCACACTGCAGCCTGGCTTCACCCTGTCTCCAATGAAGACTGAACCCAGCAGGTGTTTGCAAAGCCTCCTGCTGGCTCTCTCATGGTGTGGCCTGGGCAAGTCACTTACCTCAGTCCTCTGTCCCCTTGTCTATAAAAAGGTAAGGTGGTGACAGGAGTCCCTTGGCAGGGCCAAAGGTGGCCTTGTCTCTCTCTCTCTCTCTCTCTCTCTCTCTCTCTCTCTCTCTCTCTCTCTCTGCTTTCACGTGTATCTGATGCAAGCATGCATCTTTCATCCTCACAGTACTGAAATGTCATGAGAGTTGTTCAGGACATGATGGCCCGCCCCTGTTGGCAGTGGGAGATGTGGGGACCCAGACTATCCATTGTCACAGAGGGTAGGAATGAGTCACAGAGCCAAATACAGTGACCTCCCTGCCTGCCTACGGGGATATGGTCCCCTAGGCCTCGAGAGCATCTTGTGGACCTCTCCATCCCTGATGGTGTCAGGAGAGCCACAGGTCAAAGGACGAAGATTCTTCCTGCTCAGTGTCCCTTGATCCAAGACTTATCTGGCCTGCAGAGTGCTGCAGTCTGCTGCCTGGTAAATGTGACGGCCTCATGGCCACCCTCCCTGCTATTGGCTGCTCCCCTCTGGCCTCTGTTGTCACCTGGTCCCCTGGTGACACCTCTGGTGTCTCTCGAGTCTCCAACCCAGGCAAGGTGATTCTGACAGTTTCTTTACTAACCATGGCACAGGAAGGCTGAAAATGACCTACAGTGCTTCAAGCCCTTCCTTCAATCATATTTAAATACGGGAAATTTCTCACTTTAATGGCTTCTGGTGGTGTTGACAGTGTCACAGTGTCCCGCAGCTCCCGTATATCCCAGAACATTGTACTCTCCCCAAATCCCCCTTTAAAATGGACGCTGCAGGCAGGAACTGGGGTGTCCACTCCTCATAACCTTGCTGAAAAGCAAGGAGACTTGTCCACCTTTCAAAGTCCTGCTGAAACAGATGGTGCTCCCTGTCTCACCACCAGGGAGCAGCAGAGAACTTCCAGAACCAGTTGCTTCCTGACCCAAACTCTTTGCCAGTTGCTGACAATCCCATTCTTGGATGGGTTGGGCCACAGGGGGGAAGAGGTAGGCTTACTGAAAATGAAAGATAATGGTGATCCACTCTGGGCTCAGCCAGAGTCATCATGGTAACTAAGGACAGTTGGCTGAGGCCATCACCTGCCTGCCGTTTAGCGAGGAGTCATCCAGAGCCTGAGTGTCCTCAGCTGCCAGCTGTCTTGGAGGTGCAGGGCCTTTGGGAGTAGATCTCTCTGAGCCCAGGTTGCTCAGCCCTGAAACAAAGTGGCTGCCTTGGGGCTGAGGTGAGCCTTGGGTAGCAGGGTGCTCATGAGGTTTAGGGTGCTCCCTGAGCTGGCCCTGACACAGGGCTGTTTCCTCATGATCCCAGGATGCCCCAACAGTCATACCATGCTGCACCAAGGTTGAGTAGCACTGGCCACTGTCTTAACCTCTCAGACCCTTTCATCATCTGTAACCAAAGAAGCCCAAGAGAGGAAGACAACATGAGCCCAGAGCAGCCAGCAGAATCTCGGCTGGGGCAGGAGTGGATGGTGGAAGCTAGGGCTCTCAGGTTCCACCTAGGCCTGGTGCACCCCTTAGGGCTCTTCCATCAGCATGGGTCTAGGATCCTGTGGCCTGAGGAAGGATGCATCAGCCAGCAGGCCCATTGCCCATTGCTCAGACTTTAGAAGGAAGCCCAGTGTCTGCCAAGTCTATCCAACTACCTTCCTTCACATATGGCCTGAGTTTGAGGCTGTGGGGCCTCACCCCAGCAGGGCTGTGTCCACTCTCTTAGGAGCACAGTCACTTTCTGTACCAGCTTTGTCCAAGGGCAGGAGATGCAGGTGTTGAGGGATCTGAGCAGGCATGAGGGCAGGATCACCGGGACCCTCTGTGTGACCTGGGCCCGAGCTTTGAGTTGCTTTACTGCGCAAACGGCATCCACTCGGCCTTCCCTGCCCTCTGTGGCATCTCTGCAAAGCCAGTCCTCTTGACCAGACTCGGGTTGACAGCCTCTGTGTCCTAGGGAGGCAGGAATTCTAGGCTTATATCTGTAGAGAACAGGGGCATTGGCTCCTGGAGGTCAAGGATGCCTCTATGACCCTGTCAGCAGGGTGAGAACACCTCTGTGGGGACCCATCAGCCTGGGAGTGGGGACTTCCAGATATGTCTGAGAACAGAGACAGACTCATCCTAGGAGGAGGGCAATGGGTGTTGACTCCTCACCCTGTTCCCAGAACCTCCACAGCTCCCCTCACCTTCCCATCATGCCTGCCTCAGAGGCCTAGGAAAAGGACCGTTGAGCAATGAACTCACTCTAGATGGCCATTTCTAGATCAGAGGCCAATATAAAGACTCCACCAAGCGGTCATCATTCAGTGATGACTGCAGGCACACCCATTCCCAGCATGGCCTGTACTGGGGCCAACTGAGGCTAGACTAGCCCTGATCTCAACAGTTCACACTGGAGGTGGGGATTCCCTTCCCCTTGTAAGGAGCTCTGTGGGGACAGATTGAGCGAGCACTAGAGAGGACTCAGTTCCATGTTGGCTCTCAACCATTAACAGCAATGCAGTCACCTGAACTGAGAGTCCTACCACTTGCCGGTCGGGAAATTAAAAAAAAACCCACTTAAGCCAAAGAGCGCACAATGTCCCTGGTGCAGGCACCCCCACCTCCCAGCAATGCCACCTTGAGGACCATGGCATCAGTACACAGACCTTAGCAACATCCAATCCACATAGTTCTGAGCAAGTCAGCCTCCCCTGGGTCCTGATCCATCTCAGGAACACTGAGGCCCATCTCAAACGTGAGAACCCTGGGAGGGTGTGGACCCTCGACGACTGTGCTCCTGTCACTTGTATTTTACGGCAAAAAGCCTCAACAGAGGCCACCACACATGGCCAACATTCTACCCACCATTCATGCTCCCCAACGAGCAGCTCATGCTCCTGGACTTATGGGCTCCAACTTACCTCACGTGACCCCATGTCAATAGCTCCTTCACAAACTTACCCTGCCCTGCACCCCCACTGTTGTTTAGTCTCTTCTCTCTGAACACCCCAGGAGCCGCAACCATAGGAAGTTGTTGGCACCCCAGACCCCTGGCGCTTTCCTCTCACTGTGGTGCGTCAGTTGGGTCTCAAGTACCCCCTGTGATGACCAGCACAGCTCAGTCCTTGAAGAAGTGATCTGTGAGGAGGTCAGGAGGCTTCCAGAGGCAGGAAAAGGCAGGATTCTCTGTGCAACCTGTCTTCTTCCCAGAAGTCTGGAGGCTGCCCTCCAGGCCATATGTCTGAGGTACATCAATATGATCTATATTTCCTGAGAGGCTTAGAAGAGCCACCTTGGTTGAATTTCTGCCAGGGCAGAGCCCACAGGCTGCTTGTATCAACTGTGTTGGACAATTGAACATTTCCAAATTCCGGCCCCAAGCTTCCGAGGTGGGCAGCTGGAGGGGATGAAGGGTGTTCCAGAGGTGGTGGTGAAGAACAGGCCCTGGGAGCTGAGGCTAGGAGGGAGGTGGCTGGGAAGGGCAGAGCATCCCAGTCCAGCTCCTGTGCCATGTTCTGGGCAAATCTGAGCAGCAGTTCCTGGGAGTACAGAGGCCAGAGCTGTGCGGAGCACACCAGCTATGGGAGGCTCCAGCCACCTCTGCTGGCAGTACCATTCCAGTCTCTGGGTCCCTCCAGTCCCAAAAATGTTCAATGTTTGGGGAGTGGGAGTGTCTCCCTGTTCTTCACTCCAACAACAACACAGGAAGACAGTCAAGGTCACTTGGATGACCCAGGCCATCACCCACCTAGGAGCCTGCCTTGCTCCAAAAAGGGAGGTTTGGTAAGGATCATGTTTGTAAGGTAGTCTTGGTACCTTGGCATCTCCAGGGCCACTCTGGCTCTTTGGCAGGGTGACTCCAAGTAGAGTGGTGGTATGTTAAGTCAGGCATCTGGAAGTGGGGCGGGGTAGAGGCAGCGGAGCTAGGGTAGGGGAAGCCTGTCTGCAAGGTGAGGGTTAACTCTGATAGAAGGTGGGAAGGGGTGAGTTCCATATCACAGTGGGGGACGGGACATGACTTGGAGGGATCATTCCCCTTGCAGAGGTCATAAGGTCCTGTAGGTCCCAGACACAGACAGTATCTAGAAACAGAGTTCCCTTTGGTAGATGCTCCGAAGCATCCATCCCCCCCTTCTCTTCACTCCTGCACCTTGAGCTGCTATGTGTCCACCATCCGACATAGCCAGGGTCCACAGAGTCATGGGGTGCCACTGTGTCACCTGTGTGCCCCCAGGGTCTTCTTCCCTCATCTGATGTTTCCCTGGAGGGACTCCTCTGGCCCTGAGTACTGCTGTACTCTTGTAAGTGGCTGCATGGTACTGAATTCCTCAGCTCCCTCCTCTGTGACTTCAGAAAGACCTGGGGAGCAAGGCTTCACTGGGTGGTTCTGAGGACCCAGCCAAGCAGGGTCCCTTGTAACCAGCAGCTCCCAGCTCACCTACTAAGGCACCAGCCCCCTACCTGATGGAATGAGGCCAACGTGGATGGGTGTATGATCAGAGTACACATTGAGACCCAAAAAGATCAGACAAGGGAACCATGTCCTTTCCCTGTGTGTCACCTGCTCAGATGATGGGTCCAGAAGGGAGGGATGGACTAAACACTAAATGCTATCCAACAAGCTGTGTGGCAAACTTCTATGCCCCTTCCTATACCCAGCTCTAATGTCCCATCTTCTGCAAAACCTACCCTGACTGGCTCCAGCAGTCAGGGACTCACACGTACAGTCAAAGTGCTCCCTACTTCTCAGGCAATGTAAACACGTATCTTTTTAGTGCTATGCGGTCAGCCTCATCAGCCCCTTCTACGGTGGGCACTGAGGCTGTGTAGGAGTGAAGAATCTCCAATCACACAGCTGCGGCTGTCCAGTCTCTGACTCTGGAGTTCCCACACCAGTGGGGACCAGCCCACCTCTTCTCACCAGCAGCTAGCCAAGGCTGGAGCCCTGGGGAGTCACCAGCTGTCCCTTACAGACTCCCAAGTTCTGATTCCTAGGTTCCATGAAGCCTCCCTTGCCCCTGAATGTCTTCCTGTAAGCTGGATCACCCCAATGGTTGACCTGAGCTGCTTAGGCTCCTGGGTCAACTTCCTGCTGTCTGTCTAAGGTTGCCACTGGGAACAGGGTATGTGTGTGTGTGTGGGGGGGGGGGTGAGCAGTTCTCTTCCTCACCAATACTCCCCCCATCATCCAGGCCCTCTGTTGACCCTACCCACCTAGGCCTGCTTCTTTTCTCTGCTTAAATACTCACAAAGTTCTACTACGTGAGAAACCCATCTTGCCTGTTGTGGCTATTATGACCTGGTTCCGTGGTCAGCACGGATGACCAACAACAGGCCCCGGCTTCTGTCTGTCTGTGGGGCAATGGCAAGGTGCAGTGGGCAAGGTTTTCTGTGCCCCACATCCCTTCACCCTCTAGGCCTGCTCTAGCCCTAAGTACCCCTCCTGGTTGGTACCTTTGCCTTAGAGATCAGGATTTCAGCAGATGATTTGGAGCGCTGCCCTTCAGCCCCATAACCAGGGTCTTCCATATTGAGCATTGATGCCAGGATCAATTCCCTCTGACCAGTCATGGAATCCACATGAACACCTGCCATTCTCTCCCCGGCACACAGGCAGGAGGAGATCCATAAGGCTCCCACACAGCCACAAGCTCTGCAGGCTGACAGGCCAGCACACCCTTGGCTATCTCTGGAATGACCAGACACTCTGCCGGTGGCCAGACTCTTTAGTTACTCGGCTGTAAGATCCCAGTCTGTGAACAGAAGTGTGTTCCAAAAGTATACGGTACTCTCTGGGGGCTCCAGACAGGCCAGGCCTAAGATCTCCGAGGGTCATTCTGTAGCAGTTCAGGGAACAGTTCCCAGTCTGGTCACAGAGCCCAGTTTTAGACCTGAGTTCCTGGTCTAGAGTAATGCAGTTTGACTGAAGTGCGGGTGCCGTGTAGAAGGCATGCCCCCTTCCATGCAGACAGACAACAGGACACGGGGCACAGAGAACACAGGAGACATCCTGCCTGGACCCCTGAGCCACAGAAGAAATTGGAGTCCAGTGAGGACTTAGAATGCATTAGACATTTAGATGTTTCCCACCTCCTGGGCCACCCCAGTTCCTTGGTCCTGTCCACATA